CCCCCCCCCCCCCCCCCCACATCGTACATAGAAGCAGAGAGCCCTATACCCTGAACCCTAGGCCCTTTAAGAAGGGGATCTCTCCGGCGGTGGTGGCGGTGGCGCATGACCTTCGAACTGTTGCTAACAGAGGCCTTACTGGTTAGACTAGGATCTCTGTAGTCCTGAATCCTAAACCTGCATAAAATAGCCTACAGGGACGATAAAGGGATCCCCACCTTGGGCTCGGGCTTGGTCTGGGGGGTTCGATCTTCGACGACATGATCCGCAAGAGGGGGTTGAAGGCTTAAGCACTCTCAGGGTTTATTTAGAGTTTGGGTTTGGGAGTTTTTAGGGTTCAGAAGTCGTGCTTGCAGATCAGGTATACTATCTCCGGGCTCAAGTTTCATGAGTTTAGGATACAGGTTCATAGGGTAGAGATATGTCAGGCTGCTCTCGGTGCATGAGATTTTAGACTGTGAGAAATCAGGTTGAAAGTTCGCAGTAATCCCTGAAGCATTCCCGTCACATGTAGAACACACTTATATAGGGGTCTTAATTCTTAATCATTAGAATAGTGTTTTGGGGCCCATAATACTATAAGTACCAAAGGAACCCCCAAAATACGATTGGTAACTACTTAGGCCCTGTAGTACATACTATAAGTATAGTAAGGAACGCCCCAAAATAAAATTGGTAATTATTCAAGCCCTGTATTACAGACCACACTGTTGGAACCATGAGCTTCCAATCAACCTGCCGAAGCCCTGAACGTTTAGGGGTTTAGGGTTTAGGGTTAACCCTTGCCGCCTGCTTCTTGTCATCGTCCTCATCTTCATCGCTGGAGAGCGCTTGGCTTGTCTGAACATCGGGATCCTCGTTGCAGCGTTGCAGTCACAGGGTTTTGCAAAATAGGTCTTCGCGCAGGGTTCAGCACAGTACTAGTGGGATGTCAGGATGCAGTTCGAGAAGAGGAGGGCAATGTGGGGGGGTCTAGTAAAGGGTTTAGGGTTTCGGGATTTATAGGGTTTGGGGAGTCTAGTAACCGTAGTCGTACGTCTCGAGATCTCGAGTTTTGGGGTCTTGGTGTTTGAGTAGGGGAGGTCGCAGTTCAGAGATTCAGGTTCTTCTGACTTGGGTTCAGGGATGGACAGAGCTTCAGCTTGAGGATCTATGGGCAGCTCTCCAAATTAAGGTCCTGATTTTGGACCCCCAAAAATGGTACGCCTTGTACGCCACCCCCAAAAAAGATCCTAACGTAGAGAACTATCTAGGATTTATGAGGATGGGGAAGCTTGGCCCAGCGTCTCGACTCGAATGCTCGCAAGTTTCGGTTTCAGGCTCTCGCTTGTCAAGGTGATGAAGTTCCCCTAAACCCTAAACTCCTTTTACACCTGGTCTACTTGGAGGTTCATGGGTAGTTATAAATGAGGTTATACGTAGGGTAACTATCACTTTAACCCGTACTAGGGGACTTATAACGCCACTTATAACGACCCATGAACTTCCAAGTATGCCTTTGCCAGGAACCGAGGCGCCGACTGTGCTGTGGGACTCATGCCACACGGCTACCCCAGACTGCAAAAACTCATGAACTGGTCATCCCAAGCTCTAGGATGCAGCGACCACGTAGCTACAAGTCTCCGATAATCCGAAAAAGATTCGGGGCGTGAGATCAGGAATGCAAGGCAAAATCACATCACCCCAATCTGCACTGAAACCCCTAGACCCTAAACCCCGAAGAAATCATGGGGCGTATGGTGTCTAGGTCTACCTTAAGAACCCAAAACCCACTTTTTTGTAGGTTCCTATTATTTACCCTAATATGGGACTTATAGGGACCCTACAAAAAAGTAGGTTTGGGGTTCTTGAGGTAGGTCTCCGGAATCTCACGATTCCGTACCCCAGAGTCCCTGTCGGGCCTGGATGTCGATGATGGCGCATATGTCCTGAGTCATGTAAGGGTTTAGGGTTTAGGGGCTTAGGGTTTAGGGTTTAGGGTTTAGGGGCTTAGGGTTTAGGGGTTTAGGGGTTTAGGGGCTTAGGGGTTTAGGATTTAGGGGCTTAGGGTTTAGGGGTTCAGGGATCTTGGGTCAGAGCAACACGAAACCTTTATGCTCTGTCGCATGCCTACACGACGACAGCAGAATGATGTAAGGCTCAATCTGAGGGATAGTAAGAGCCGTCTAAACCCTGAAGCACTGAACCCCCAAACCCCAAACCCCTACACCCCTGAACCCCAAAACACGAAGTCGCAAACCGCCTACACCGTAAACCCTTAAACCCGGAACCCCAAACCCCCAAGCCCTGAGCCCCAAAATACGAAAACTTAACCCCCCCAAACCTTACCTAAACCCAAAACCCTAAATCCTAAACCCCAAAACCTTAAACCCTGAACCCCAAAAAACCCTGAAACCTTGCACCTCGAGCCTCGAAACCCTGAGACCCTCAGCCCCCCAACCCCCAAATCTTATAGATCCCTTCATTATAAAGGGTTTAGGGTTTAGGGTTTAGGGCCTATAATAAATCTTATAGATCCCTTTATTCTAAAGGGTTTAGGGTTCAGGGTTTACGGCCTATACTATAGAAAACCCCTGTAAAAGAACCCTAACCCCAAAGCCATTCCGAGCGACCTCTGGAGGTAGGTCTCGCTGCTTTGTGAGGATCCTCCCTACCGCGACCGGCTGGTTGTTCCTTCGTTGCTGAGGGTTAGGGTTTAGGGCTGAGTTCGGGTTTAGGGTTTAGGGTTTAGGGTTTAGGGCTGAGCTCGGAAGCCCAAAGTAGAAATAATACTAGGTGCTTTTGACTTAAAAAAGCAAAGGATATGTTGGTGTTTTAGAGTTTAGAACTATAGGGCATCAGATTATCCCAAAAACCCTGTAACGTGTACTCATTCAGCTGCTGAGGTTCTGCTGCCCAAAGCGTCCGCCCACGAGCCACTTCTTGCCCTGCTTTCGAGAGACCTGCCAGCTCATGAGTTTAGGGTTTAGGGGTTTAGGGTTTAGGACGGTTTACCTGGACCTCAAGGAACCTACCTTTTTAGGGCTCCTTATCATGATTTGTTAATTATAAGTCCTTAAAAAGGTAGGTTTTTGGGGGCTATACGGTAGGGCTTACTTGGAGGGTCAGGGGAGGGTATGTAGCTCAAAAAGCCTAGTCCCAGGACCCCAAACAATACACCCAAAAACCCACCCTAAACAATACACCCAAAACCCACGCAAACAATACACCCAAAAAAACAGTCTAAAGTCTCTACATGCAAAAACCAAGAGTGCAGGCCCTTGGTGATCCTGCACCCGCAAGTGTACCGAAGGTTCTTGTTGTGTCTGGCTCAAGTTCAAACCGAGGCCGCGGCTTGGCAAAGGGCTTGCGGTAAGAAGTATATATATATATACACACACATATTATATGTATGTGTATATGGATACATGTTTCTGCATGTAGGTATGATACACACAACAAACGGCACACTGTGTATGTATATGTATACATACATGCATACATACATACATACATACATACATACATACATACATATATATATATATATATGTGAACAGACAGAGGGACAGATAGATAAATAGATAGATAGGTAGATAGATAGATAGATAGATAGATAGGTAGGTAGATAGATAGAAGGATAGGTAGATAGACAGATAGATACATCGATAGATCGACAGACAGTTAGATCGATCGATAGATCGACCGACAGATAGATAGATCGACAGATAAATAGATCGATAGATAGATCGACAGATAGATAGATAGATAAATCGACAGATAGATAGACCGATAGATAGACATGTAGATGTAGATGTAGATGTAGGCAGACAGATCGATAGATATATGACTAGGGTGCTGACAAGTTTGGGTTGAGGCTTCAAGGTTTCGAACTGATGGGCCTCGGATTTACAATTCACAGGACCCCGAAGAGCAGTATGGCATGGTTTGTTCATAAAAGACATGCAATGCCTGCTTGAGAGGTCCGGTGTGCATCTGTAATTATTAGGTTACGGCCACTTTTACTGAGACTCCTGAATCAGGGGGAGCCTTGTTCTGCTTCGACAGCTCCTTACGGGCTTTGGCAATGTCCCCTTTCACTTCCGCGGTGGCCAGCTCCAGGCCACTACGGAGCACGCAAATGTCCATGCGCTGGAGCACCTGGTAAGGGTGATGGGGTTACCTTGAACTGCTAGAACCTACTTTTGTGCATTAGGGTCCCTACAAATTCTAGCGAGAACCTACAACAAGGCAGGTTACTGAGGGTAGTTTAGATTAAGGTAGGCTTCAGGATTTTGGGGTTTAGGTTTGGGAGCTGCAGAGACCGAAAGAGAGCTTGAGGATAACATGCGGGGATGGTATACTTTAAGAGTTCAGGATTAACTATGATTGCGACCTTGGGCATCAGGGGCAGGAGCCATCTGCTGGAGTCACTTGAGATATGTATGTTTTACTTCCCATGTCTTACTTCTGTGCTTGTTACTGCTAGTTCTCCCAGCCGATCTTTTTTGTCTACCTCCTCCTTTTCATCACGAGCCAAGTCACCATGCCAGTAGTAGGTAATCGCACAAATCCTACTGCTGCTCCTCCAACCAACAACCACAACAGCTGCTACTGCTACTGCTACTGCTACTGCTACTGCTACTGCTACTGCTAATGCTGCTACTACTACTACTACCACCACTACTACTACTACTACTACTACTACTACTACTACTACTGCTGCTAATGCTGCTACTACTACTACTACTGCTGCTACTACTACTACTACTACTACTACTGCTACGAATACGACCACTACCACTACCGCGGCAACGACCACGACCGCCACCACCACTGCCACTGCCGATAGCGCTGCCGCTATCACGACTACAACGACGACGACAACGAGTACAGCGACAACTACGGCTACAACAACTGCACCCAATAATAGTAACCACCAAAAGCCTGCCCTCAACCTACATCACACAGAAAGGTAAACCATTCAGGACGACCAAGACGGCCACCAGATATATCGCGCCTTTTCATTGCTGGGATGGCCGTCGATGTTCATGGGGGCAGTCTGCAGCAAGGCCTTTGCGGTCTGTCTCTGGCTTGGGTCTGCAGAGCTTCAGGGTGCGAGGTGCACTGTCGTGAACGAAAGCCGTCAGAGACCTACCCCAAAAACGACATCTGCAGGTCCAGAGGTCTCCAGGATCTGCATCAGGATAGCGTTTGCTATCATATGTTCAACGTGCCATGTGTGTTACCAAATTAAATGATATGTATATATATATATATATATGTGTATATATGTACGATGTGCTACCGGACTAAAAGGTTTTAGCATCTCAGTACAGCGGTGTCTCTTCGCACTTCTGGCTAACAGGGGGGGGTTCTGGGCTTTGGACTTTCATTTGGGGGTTTCCGAAAATAGGGGGACCCTAAAATAGTACCCTAAATAGTAGGATCCTTATTATAAGGACCCCTAAAATACGGTACCCCTTATTTTCGGAAACTCCCATTTCCCTCTTGCAAGACTTTGGACGAACGAATCTCCAAGCCCTTGCCTTGCAACGGTTCTGCACCCCGGACACCTTCCCCAAACCCTAAAACCGACATCCCCAGTCAAAAACACTCCCGAAGCGCACTACGACCTCCGTATACTATACTAATGTTTTGGGGGTTCTGTAAGTATAGTAGAAAGGGCCCCAAAACCCTATTCTAATTATTAAGGCCCCTAAAATTACCAGCCAGCGCTCCAGGAAGGACAGCAGCGCCAGCTCGTTGGCCAAGGGCGCGTTGATACGAGGGATCCTCGGCCAGCTGAGGGGTTTCCTGCTTACCTGTAGCCCACTAGTATAGTGTAATCTATTTAGGGTTTAGGGGATAGGGGATCGTACATAGGATATTCGTCATAGAGTTATAGCCCTTCCACTTGTAGGACCCATAGTTCGGGGTCCAGTCAGTCTAGGGTCTTAGCAACAAGTTCTAAACCAGTGACAGTCACGGACACAGCCACATTGAAGAAGCTGCTTTGATAGACCACGGACCCATGAAAAATCCGAGCGAAGAAAACGTCAACCCGAATTCTAGACACCCCTCGCCCTGCAGAGAATGTGCAGGTTTGGGCGGCTTGCAAAATTCCTTTTTCTCTGACTACGCGCAGTTTCTTTCGCATCTACATCCTAAGCTCATAAGTAGACAAGCTTCATGTTGCGCCGCGACTTTCGCACCGCCTCTGCTGCATCGTCCACACATCCTGCTCTCGGCGTCGGCCAGGCCTCGTCTCAGAGGAATAGAGAATAGTAGGGTTTAGGGCTTATAGGACAGAGCTTATAGGGTTTGTGGGGGATTCTTGGGATTAGTTGGATGTCAAGTGTAGGGCTGCATCTCAGAACCCGTGTCACTGGCTCCCAACTCGCCACGAAGAATCAATCTGGGGAAATGGAGGTCCTAAACCCCAAACCCCGGGCTAGCATCGCACTCGCAGATAAGATACACGCGCGCGGCTATACCAAGGATGTGTGTTAGGGGTGTTGCAAAGCTTGATCCTACTACCTAGAGTGTGTAGTCAGCGGCGCCGTCGTTTTTGCTTGTCCCAGTCAGACGGTCTAAGATTTAGGCTCAGTGCTGGGCCTTCGGCCTTCGGACCAGGAATATGCAACAAGCTCGGACCGAGCGCACGTGCCTGCACCGAAGTGTGCGTCAAGGAGTCAATGAGATCCATGATGACCCCGGATTGCCTTGGTGTTGGCGGGCGGCGAAGGCCTGAAGTTTCATGAAACCTCATGCGGTAAACCCTCGGCGGTCAAGAAACCCAAAAGGAAGCGTAACAGCCTGTGCTATATCGTAGGAGATCTAAGCCCTACTTACGAAATCAAAAATGGGTCCTTCGAGCGATAATTTGAATCCGCAGGGATGATACAGCTGCGGGTCGAAGGAATAAAGAAAACGGGCTGTGGAGGTTTGGTGTCTACTCCGCTAGAACGACGGCATGGTTTTTGTAGACACATGTTCTGGCCGATTCTTGAGGATCCGCTACCAATCCCTGCCAATCCGATGCGGCGTGAAATATTTAGGGAGGGCTTCGGATGCGCTAGATGACAATGCAGGGAGAACCGACTTTATGTGGTTTGGCTGGGGTTTACGACTGTAAGAAACTCTTCCCGGCCTTTCATCACTCACAGACTTCCTAAAGCCTAAACCCTAAACCCTAAACCAAAACCGCGTTCGTACTCAGGCGGCTGCGCAGCGACATTTCGAGCAAAGTCGACAAAACTGAATCCGGCATGATAAGGTCAGAAGGTTCATGTATATGGGGGTTTCCGAAAATAGGGGACCCGAATATAGTAGCCTAAATAGTAGGATCCCTATTATAAGGACTCCAAAAGAAGGTACCCTAACTTCGGAAACTCCCATATTGCTATTAAGGACGAAGGCCCCCGAAACCAGAATAGGGATGATCTTGTGGGACCTGATTCCATACTTGCCGTCAGTATGGACCCTCTTGGAAATCACCACGCCAACATGAGGAACTCCGTTGACGCTCCTACTTCTGCCTCCACTGCTGCGACGCGACTGCGACTAGAGGAGACGGAGATGATAAATTGCAACTGCTCACGGCTAAACCTCAATCGGGACCCTCAATGGCCCTGAAGACCTTACGACAGCATAAGCCGAACACCACGAGCCCAGCTGCGAGCCCACCATGCTGTTGGCCAGCTCCTCCAACTTTGTCTTCAAAGGCCCTGCGTTGATCCTTGCGGGGGCTCATGCTTAAACCCTAAACCTAAACCAACCCTGACGCCTTCAACCCTAAACCCGAAATCGAAAACATGGGTTGGGGTATACATGGGTTGGGGTATTTAGTTTGAGGCTGTGAACCCAGGCGGTTGCTAGGATCGAGGTTTCAGGGCTTCGGGTAGTGGCCCTAAGGGTCCAAAGGACCACTGATTGGGTACTTGGGTTTAGGCTAGTAATAATTCTAAAGTATAAGAAAGTATGTAAGTATTTGGCGCGTGTACGGATATTATAAGCACATAGACCCTTTGGCGATAGATATCCAAACCATTAGAAACCCTGAACCTTGCTTTCAGTGAGGTCTCTCTGAAACCTGAAACCTAAGCTAAGCCGTGATCGCTAGCCTAAACCCCAAACCCTGAACCCTTTTAAACCCCAAGCCCTAAAATCCTGAACCCGCAAGCCTCTAAACGACGTATGATCGACCTGAAGATAAAACGCTGGTTGATTCGATGCCGACAGTTTTGGGATTTGGGTCTAGGGTTTGGGGCTCTGGACTAACTAAAGCATGCTTTCGACGGAAAGCCCAACAAGAGTATCGAGTCTCGTTCTGAGCATTGTCACCCCTACTGCTAAGCGAGCCCGTACGCAAACCCATACCCGTATTCAATCCTCGAAAGCCACATCAGAAAACCTGCTATGGAACTGCACAAACTCCTCGCAAACGAACCTATAAAGCCCTGCAAAACAGTTGAAGACACCCTGAGAACACCTTTACAAACCGCGTAACGCCCCTCCTCTTCCGAAGCCCCACAACATTTCCACCAAGCCGCCCGTAGTTTTGCGAGGTCGGTGCCGTCCAGTCGATCTCCCATTCTAGGGCCTTAGGGTTCCATCGGATTTCCAGAGACTTGGGACTGAACATATAATTGCAGGGTGTTTAACAAAATATGGTCATAACTTCGGATTCTTGACTTCTTCCTTCTCGCATACTAGGGATTAGATCTTTGACTGTCTGGAGTTACGACTTGAGGGTTGACATGGTTTCAGGTTCTACGGTCTTGAGGTCTGGGGCTTGTGCCATGTGGGGTCTCATAGGGTGTATGGTCTCAGGGTTGTAGGGCTCAGGCTCTCACTGTCGAGCTCCAATTGAGTTTCGGGGTCGGCATGCTGCAAGGGCTAGGCGGCTTTGCTCCAACTTCGCGCGCAAAAGCTCCATGGGTTCATGGGAGCTTAGGGTTTAGGGCTTACGGTTAACGCCGGCTACCGACGGGAGAGTCACAGCATTGAACAGACTCTACAAAGCTTCGCCGAACACTGTCAAAGCACCTGCTTCATACCCCGCTGCACATCCCGGTAGAGACAGTTTGCCTGCTGGCATGAACGAACCTGGTACTGCACAAGCGCAACCGTAACCGATGGACGTAAGCGATGGATAGTATGGTATAAAACGCCGAACATGATTCAATACCATGCTGCGGATGGTCAGTAGGTGGTGGGTCTGTAGGTAGGCAGGTAGGTGGTTGGCAGGAAGCTAAGTAGGTGAGTCGGTAGATGCTTTAAACCCCACTTCAAACCGAAATCCGAAATCCGCGCCTCATATCATCCATACCCAACCCTAAACCGTTAACTAAGTCCCTTCCTTCAAAACCCACACCTCCAAACCCTAAACTCAACAACCCTAATTCCGTATGTAGGGCCCTGACGTCGAAGACCGCCTCGGTGCAAATGATGCTAAGGTGACTCCCCGACTCTCTCGGATCCTCCGTCATGTCCTGATGCGGGATTTCGGGTTATTTTTAGGGTTTAAGCAGTTTCAGCCAGGGTTTACTCTCTAATGCTCTAGGTCAAGGTTTCTGCACTCACACTCGGACATGCCAGCGAGGTTGGGGTTTAGGGTTCATGAGAGTTCTTCAAGAGTTTGGAATGAGGGCACTTGCATACAAATTGTCGTCGGAATCCGAATTTGGATGTTGGGGGCGGGAGTGGGTGAAGCATCTAAAAAAATTGACAGACATCAGAAAAAAAATTGACCCTGCGGCCATCAAAAATTTTTTGCTAAGCATCAAAAAAATATTTGCAGACAGAGTAGTAGTAGTAGTAGTAGTAGTAGTAGTAGTAGTAGTAGTAGTAGTAGTACTAGTAGTAGTAGTAGTAGTAGTAGTAGTAGTGGTAGTAGTAGTAGTGGTAGTAGTAGTAGTAGTAGTAGTAG